AACCAACTGAGCCACCCAGGCGCCCAAAAAAGCTATCTTTTAAACAATTTTTAACAGTGTGAAAACTTTTACCTTGAATCTTGATTTCAGCAATATTGTTCTTCTCATCGCAAACAGTGACACAGAAAGCATTCAATTTGGCAAACAGCCTGAAGTCAATAATGTCCCTATCTTTAGAGGATGCAATCACTAAAAATAAAACAAAGCATTCTATCACATGGGATTCTAGTAATTCAAACTCTATTAAGGTTTCTTCCTTAGATTAAGTGATCCACAGTTCTGTTTTAAAAAATTATAAAATTCTCAAGTTCTTAAAGATTTCAAATATTTTTTTTTGCTTTATATATTCTGTATAGTTTGCATTTTTCATATTGAGATATTACTTTTATAATTTAAAAGCAAGAAAAAAAAACACAAAATAAATAACATAAGGACACTGAAACTCAGAGAAGTAAAATAATGTGCCTACGGTCACTTAATTTAAGTAGCAGAGGCAGGATTTAAACTGAATTCTTCCTGATCTGAAATCTGGGCTCTTGTCCAACTAGATGCTGTCCCTGCACTGCTATCCTCATGTCTCTGGGTCTTACTTCCTTATTTGTAAAATGGAAGGGAAGACCAACCCTCTGTGGGGCCTCTTCAGGAGCCACAGATAAGGGAGGAAGAACTCAATGTAAATAGAGGTTTTCTTCCCTATTATCCACCTAAAGCATTCCCCACCACCACCAAAGAACAAAAACAGGTATTTTTTTTTTTAAAGCAACAGTATTAGTTACCTTTTCCTTATACAGCAGTTACCCACATATGATTTTGTTTGAAGAAAAGGACAGAAGTGGGAAAAATGGCACACAAAAGACTGAGCTAAATGATCTCTAAGATTCATTGTTTTCCTCTAGATTCTAACATGCTTGTTAACAAGAAATGAAGTGTTTTTCATACCTTTCTGCAGAGCTGAATTTTTTTGTTGCTTCTCATCTGAAATTTGCACTTCTTTGGAATCACTTCTTTGGTCACTGGATGGAATTATGGTTGTCAGGTAATTAATAGAAGACAGAAGAGCTTGTGTTTGCAGCAACAGATTTAAAGATGAAAAAGCCACCTAGAAATTTTTTAAAAAGAAAATCTGTTTTTCAGGCCAATCATACCCATAATCTCCACGATGGACCTGAAAGGCTTCTAGCTAGGCTTACATCACTGCTTCCACAGCTTGGAAGGAAGAGAGAGGAGATCAAGACTCATAACCTAGACTCCTTAAACAGGAAATATATAGAGAGTAAATCACACTTACACACATTGAGAGTTCCTATGAATATCAAAGTAACCTAATTATTCCATTTCCCAAGCAGAATTAACATGGAGCCTATAATCTGCTTGTCATGACCATCCCAATATCCATCATGTTTTTGGATCTTCAACGGACTCTTTATTATGATTACATAAAACATATAAGTTAGATCATGAAACTCCCAAATCACCATGTGTTAATACTAGGTTAAGAAATAATTTCAAATGTGATATTCATGAGATTTAAATATAAAAAGTACAATTATAAGTGAATTCTCAGTTACTAAATGATTGTCTAAAACCATAATAGTCTTATCATTTAAATAGATAGATAGATAATATATCTTTTAGAAAAATAAGTTACATTTTTTAAAACAGTGACCCAAGAAAGCTAAGACACCAACAAAAACTGCTTTCAGGAATATGTGGTTTTCTAATAGCAAAGAAAAGTTTTAAAAAAAAATCTTTGCTTATATAAAAGAATTTCCTTTTGGGCTCCCCTGCTCAGCGGGGAGTCTGCTTCTCCCTCTGACCCTCTTTCCTCTCATGCTCTCTCTCATTCTCTCTCTCTCTCAAATAAATAAATAAAATCTTAAGAAAAAAAATTTCCTTTTATTGCCTCAGAGCACTAAGTGGATATAAAAAACTATAAAAAGGAGGGTTCACAATATTCAACAGATTCTCCCATCTCTCAAAAGTGTAACCTAAAATTCCTATCTCTGATTATCTTTTTAATGTAACCCACAACTACTTTTGTTTCGTCTTCCTCCATGTGACTACCTTCACGTGGCTCCAGAAGTACTCAACATCTCTCCTTGTATTTCACACTTTCTCAGCCCTGTATTAAACAGCAGTATATAGTATGATTTGTTTAAAATCCTGTTGTCCTGTAAATCAAAGTTCTGTCATCTATAGCATTCCCTTTATAAGAAATAATTAGGATGTGCTACAGTAGGTTAAAACACCAGCTCTACGATACTAAATGATAAATATAGAGCATGGCAGGTATCTATGAGATTAATTTATAACTTTTATTGGTTCTTGATAATTTCATCAGATTACCCAGTCATTATTCCTCAAAGGATACTGGAGCCTTCCACAGTAAGTTATTTTCAAATAAGATATATTCTTTAAACTAAATTTCTTACCTTAAGTGTTTGTTCAGTTTTTTCAAATGCGGTTTGAAAACTAGGTCCATTCTTATCAGCCTAAAAAAAAAGAACAAAAGTTCTAAAGAAAGATTTAAGACCAAAGTAAATAAATCACTTATTATGATCTTTAGCTTATTTTTTATATTATTCAGAACTGTAATTTTATGTATATTATATAATTAATTTTACTGTCATTATTTTAAATGTATAGCCAAATTATTTATTTATTACAGTCGTGCAAATTTGTTCTCCTCTTCAAATATGGAAGACCATGTAGGTGGAAACTACAGCTAGAGACCAGAATTATAAACTCTGAAGGCTGGAAGGCTTAAAGGTCATCTAGCCCATCCATCACCTAAACCCTGAATCCCTTTATATCTTTGGGAAGTCTATTTAGGTTCACTCCAGTGAAAGAAATCTCATTTTCTTACAAATTTAATCTTTAGAGAAATTTGATTTAATTAGGTCTTCATACTAAGTCAAAAATCTATCTCCCATCATAATTATCTATTGGTTCAAGTTCTGTCTCTTGGGAACATCCACAGTAAATTCAGTTTTACCTCTTGTGAGAAGCCTTCTGGCTAGGCCAGTTTCTCTGTCTCTTTTTTTTTTTTTAAGATTATATTTTTTGAGGGCGCCTGGGTGGCTCAGATGGTTAAGTGTGTGCCTTTGGCTCAGGTCATGATCCCAGGGTCCTGGGATTGAGTCCCACATTGGGCTCCCTGCTCCTTGGGAGCCTATTTCTCCCTCTGCCTCTCTCTCTGTCTCTCATGAATAAATAAATATAATCTTTAAGAAAAGATTATATTTATTTGAGAGAGAGAGAGAGAGAGCATGAGCAGGGGGAGGGGGAGCAGAGGGTGAGGGAGAAGCAGACTCCCCGCCGAGCAGGGAGCCAGATGCGGGGCTCAATCCTAGGATCCCGAGATCATGACCTGAGCCGAAGACAGATGCTTAACCAACTGAGCCACCCAGGCTCCCCATCTCTGCCTCTTCAATGCAATAAAACTTTATACTCTTCTTTGTGAGAGAATCAACCACATTATATTTTAATTTTTATCTACTTGTCTATCTTCCTACAAGTCCTTAATTTCCTTGAAAACAGGGAATGTTTTTAATCTCTGTATCCCAAGTGCCTAACAGAACCGGACAAAGACATTCAATAAATAGTTGTTGAATGATTAAACAAATCAACTAATCCTGAATGAAGCGAAATATCATTACTTCCTTCAGCATTTCTCATATGATATCTTTTTAAGTCCTTTCCCAATCCTGGCAGTTCTTTTCTGCACCCAATCAAATTTGACTTTATCCCTTTAGATGAAGGATACTCAGCCAAATATCACCTACACATACAACGAATATAGGCAGGTGAATATGCCCCAAGAGATAGGAGTGCATTCTACATCATCCCAAGCTTCTATCTTTGGGGACAGGGAGCTTGGTGGCTTCTTAATGGTCCTAGTCTTGTACTTAAGTGAAAGAGAAAGTGTAACATGAAAATGGAAAAAGAAACAGTGGATATCCCTGTGGTTAAAACCTATGACAAACATCTAGAGCATTTACTGATCTGCTTTTTCTACTAATCATCTTTTTCCTTCCAGAGGACAGTTTAGAGTATACAATAAATATGTAAACATTTTATGGCCCTTACCTTAACATATTCTACTTTTAAGAGATCTAATCCAGGTTTATCAGAAGAGCTAATCAAGTGAAGGGGCTTCTTTCTGGATCCTAGATTAAAGAAAAAGAAAAAAGTGTTTCAAATAAATTGCTCTTTTTTTAAGATTGGAATTTTCTGTATGTCTTTTTCTTCTTAAAAAAAATGTTGTTAATTAAGCTTTAACAGACTATCTGCACATATTTTCACGCACTGGTGAATAAATAAACCAATCTAAATATTGATCTTACCTTTAGCATCCAGCTTACTTAAAAACATGCATATTTATTTTCATTTGATTTTACATCTGTGTTCAAAAATAATCAATACTTCCCTAGATATTTTTAAGGACATATGTGCATTTTTATGGCAGTAGAAAGACAAGTTAATTAAGAATTAAGAAAAATTAATCCTAGTTCATCTCTACCCTTACTAGGAGATACTCAACTTTAGTTTCTCAACTATATAACAAGACTGAACTAGAAAAATATGTAATACCGGGTCCCATATTGAACTCGAGTTGGAAGAGGTGAGTCCGGTCTTAAAATGGAGGTAAAACCGCCGCCCAGTCGCCCCCAGCCTAACTCCGGCCGTGGCCACCGCCACCGCCGGGGGGAGGAGGGCCATGATCCAAAGGAGCCAGAGCAGTTGAGAAAACTGTTTATTGGTGATTTGAGCTTTGAAACTACAGATGATAGTTTAAGAGAACATTTTGAAAAATGGGGTACACTTACAAATTGTGTGGTGATGAGAGACCCCCAAACAAAACATTCCAGGGGTTTTGGTTTTGTGACTTACTCTTGTGTTGAAGAAGTGGATGCAGCAATGTGTGCCCGACCACACAAGGTTGATGGGCATGTAGTGGAACCAAAGACAGCTGTTTCTAGGGAGCATTCTGTAAAGCCTGGTGCCCATCTAACAGCGAAGAAAATTTTTGTTGGTGGTATTAAAAAAGATACAGAAGAATATAATTTCAGAGACTACTTTGAAAAGTATGGCAAGATTGAAACCATAGAAGTTGTAGAAGACAGGCAGAGTGGAAAAAAGAGAGGATGTGCTTTTGTAACTTTTGATGATCATGATACAGTTGATAAAACTGTTGTTCAGAAATACCACACTATTTATGAGCATAACTATGAAGTGAAAAAAGCCCTTTCCTTTTTTTTTTTTTTTTAAGATTTTATTTATTTATTTGACAGAGAAAGACACAGCGAGAGAGGGAACACAAGCAGGGGGAGTGGGAGAGGGAGAAGCAGACTCCCCGCCGAGCAGGGAGCCCGATGCGGGACTCGATCCCGGGACTCCAGGATCATGACCTGAGCCGAAGGCAGTCGCTCAACCAACTGAGCCACCCAGGCGCCCGAAAAAAGCCCTTTCTAAACAAGAAATGCAGTCTGCTGGATCACAAAGAGGGCGTGGAGGTGGATCTGGCAACTTCATGGGTCGTGGAGGAAACTCTGGTGGAAGAGAAGGCTATGGTGGCGCAGGTGGTGGCAGCAGAGGTAGTTATGGAGGAGGTGATGGTGGATACAATGGATTTGGAGGTGATGGTGGCAACTATAATGGTGGTCCCGGTTATAGCAGTAGAGAAGGCTATGGTGGTGGTGGACCAGGATATGGAAACCAAGAAGGCAGATATGGAGGTGGTGGTGCAGTATATGATGGTTACAATGAAGGAGGAAATTTTGGAGGTAACTATGGTGGTGGTGGGAACTATAATGATTTTGGAAATTATAGTGGACAACAGCAATCAAATTAGGGCCCATGAAGGGGGGCAGTTTTGGTGGAAGAAGCTCGGGCAGTCCCTATGGTGGTGGTTATGGATCTGGTGGTGGAAGTGGTGGATATGGTAGCAGAAGGTTCTAAAAAAATTTCAGAAGAAAAAGGCTACAGTTCTTAGCAGGAGAGAGAGCGAGGAGTTGTCAGGAAAGCTGCAGGTTACTTTGAAACAGTCGTCCCAAATGCATTAGAGGAACTGTAAAAATCTGCCACAGAAGGAACGACGATCCAGGGTCAGAAAAGTTACTGCAGCTTAAACAGGAAACCCTTCTTGTTCAGGACTCTCATAGCCACAGTTTGCACAAAGTGCAGCTATTGATTAATGTAATGTAGTGTCAATTAGATGTACATTCCTGAGGTCTTTTATCTGTTGTAGGTTTGTCTTTTTCTTTTTTTTTAAAGATTTTATTTATTTATTTGAGACAGAGAGAATGAGAGACAGAGAGCATGAGAGGGAGGAGGGTCAGAGGGAGAAGCAGACTCCCCGCCGAGCAGGGAGCCCGATGCAGGACCCGATCCCGGGACTCCAGGATCATGACCTGAGCCGAAGGCAGTCGCTTAACCAACTGGGCCACCCAGGCGCCCTGTCTTTTTCTTTTTATTACATCAGGTATATTGCCCTGTAAATTGTGGTAGTGGTACCATGAATAAAAAATTAAGGAATTAAAAAAAAAAAAAAAGAAAAATATGTAATACCTTATTCAGCTATAAAATTCTAAGAATATTTCATTCATATTAAAGAAATTTGCATAATTTTCTTTGTTTAGGCCAAGAGAGAAGGCATATTAGAAAAGAAAGTATTTTCTAAGGGAGGGGAATTGCTAAATTTCTTTTAATTTAAAAACTACAGGTACACTACTAGATATCCTCTATATCCTTCACATAAACATACCAAGGAACTGCCTCAAAAAGCTGTGGAAGAAGTGATTTATACACCACTTTATCCATCTTTTATTATTTGCAGTTCTATAACTCCTGCTCCTGAGAAATCTCAGAATTTTCACTTCAGCATCAAGGTCATAACCTTCCCTAAAGGAAAAAACAGCCTAGCAAATTTTTTACATTTTCCCCTCAAGACAGTAATGTAAACTCCATCCAAACATAGTGTTTATAGAAACTAACATAAAACATTTTTCTTCTAAACTGAGATGTGTTTTAGTTTCAACTATTAAAAAATAACAAAAATAGGACTTTATATTTGACTAAAATATTAGGCAAATATTAAGTAATTACTGTAGATTCACCCATTACATCATTCTTCAAATACTTAATTAGCACACAAGATGTACACTGAAATAAACCATAAGAGCTTCTAAAATAATGAATTTTATCCCCCATCCTAAGTTTTTATAACCTGGTGCTGCTTCTGATATATAAACACTATTTAATAGAAAGAACAAAGACTTTAATATTACAAGATCAGAGAGAAATTCTAGGTTTTGCTATTCCTAAAATGCATGGTCTTGAATAAGCCACTTAATCCCTCCTTATTTAACCTTACTTTGTAAAATGGGAATAATATTCCCTACATAAAGGAGATTTATATGGACTCTCTAAGACAGCAGATCACAGTAGCTAAGAATACAAACCCAGACTTCCAGGGTTTTAATTGGTTTTAATCATGTTTTAGCCACTAACCAGCAGTATGACCCTGGTTAAATTATATAAAATTTATGCCTTAGTTTCTTCATATGTAAATTGGAGATAATAACATTGTCATAAGGGTTAAATGAGTTATTACTTATAAAATTCTTAAAACAGGTGCTATTATTTATTATAAATATTATTATATACACAAGTGTTTCAGATACTAAAAGTGATATTAAATTTATAAACCATCATTTCTATTTTTACAACTATTACCTTGAATTTCATGGTAATCCAAGCTGATTTTCTTTAAATAAGATACCATAGTTATATCAAATGTTCTCATCGTAGCCTCTGTTCCTAAATGAGTAATATTAAATACTAGAATTGTATCTTCTTCTTTCTGTTGTTTGGTAAATTCCAAAATCACCTAAAAGATCAGGACAGACAATAAAGGCTTGATGAATTTTAGAATCATACTTAAAAACAAAATTTTTTTTCATACATATCATCATGAGAATAATAGAAACTTTGCTCATACTTTCTTACTACCATAAAGTTATTTACTATGACTGGAAATTATCACCTTAAATTCTATTATTCAGAATACAACTACATCTATATAAAAATCATGATATAATTTTACATCAATTATTGATTTACTTTTTTAATTTAGTAGAAACAGGAATGTATGTATTCTTACTAAAATGTTTTTCTTAAACCTATCATGTTTAGATGTTTAACCCTATCATGTTTAAACCTACCATCATGTTTAAATCATGTGTGTTGATTTAAAAAAAAACAGCATTCCCATTAAAGTAAAAAGTATGACAGGCTATTCACTATTACAGTATTATTTAAATTAATTCTGGATATGACAGCCAGTATATTTAGTCAATCAAATACAAAATATTTATATGGCAATTTTTTTTTTTTTGAAGATTTATTTGACAGAGAGAGACACAGAGAGAGAGGGAACATAAGCAGGGGGAGTGGGAGAGGGAGAAGTAGGCTTCCCGCTGAGCAGGGAGCCCGATGCTGGGCTCAATTCCAGGACCCTGGGATCATGACCTGAGCCGAAGGCAGATGCTTAATGACTGAGCCACCCAGGCGCCCCTACGTGGCAATTTTTAAAACATGAAAGTTCTTTGATATTCCATCAAGAGATAGAGATCTTTGTCTACCATCTTTGAATTTCAACAGGCTTGTGACTACTTCATTCAACGGACTACAGAGGAAGCAACACTATAATAACTTCCAATGATAAGAAAGACCCATAAAACTTCCACCTGGGAATGCATACTGAGGGAAAGCTAGTTGCCATGTAAAAAGTTCAACTACCCAGACACTGCCATGTTCAGGAGGCCATGAGTAAGCATTTCAAACAGTCCCAGCTGAGCTCCCAGCCAACAGCCAGTATTAAGTGCCAGCTTCAAGAGTGAGACACTTCTGAGGCCCTCTGAAGCTTCAGGTCACTGTAGCTCCAGCAAATCTGACTGCAACCAAATGAAAAACTATACACAAAAATTACTAAGCTGGGAGGTGCCTGGGTGGCTCAATGGGTTAAGCCTTTGATTCACGTCATGATCTCAGGGTCCTGGGATCAAGCCCAGTGTCGGGCTCCCTGCTCAGCGGGGAGTCAGTTTCTCCCTCCCCTCTGCCCCCCTGGCCCCCACAAGTGCTTACTCTCTCTCTCTCCCTCTCTCAAATAAATAAATAAAAATCTTTTAAAAAAATTGCTAAGCTGGGCCCTTCCACAATTCCTAACCCATAATACTCTGAGCAAAATAAAACAGTTGTTTTGAGCTATCATGTTTTGGGATAACCTGTTAGGTGGCAATAACAACCAGAACAATGTAAATACTGAAAAAAAGCAAAAATAACATTGTTGGCAGTGATATATACTTAAGAAAAACTAGGAGTGTCAACTGAAAAATAGAAACAATAAGATAGTATAAGATATTCAGTACAGAGTTGTTATACAAAAGTAAATTTCAGATAAATCAATGATTTAAGTGAAAGCAATGAAATCATAAAATAATATATTAAATTGTGGGTAAATATTTTTGTAATCGAGAATTTTCTAAACATACACTAAGATATAAAGAAAAAATTTAATATATTTCACTACAGCAACATTTAAAACCTCAAAATGGCAAAAGAAGTCAAGTTGGGAAAAACAACACTATTTTTTCTTAGATGATTCTGATTATCATTGTTTATCATTTTAGTTTATTCATTCAATATTCAATAAAATATTTATTGGGCATCATCTACCATGTACAAGGCCATACCAACCACTAGGAACATCAAAGTGACCAGGACAGACAAGGTCCTTGTCCTGATGGAGCTTATATTCTAAGAAGAGTGGGGAAAAGTGAAGGTTCCCTTTATTGGGTAGTCAGGCCTTTCCAGTAAGATGGCACTTGAGCAAGTATCTAATAGAAGTAAAGAATCAAGTCATACAGAAAAAGAGTGTTCCAGGCAAAAAAACATCAACAAAAAAAAATAACAAAAAAAAATACCCCGGCAAGCACAATGAATGTGCTTTGGTATACATAAGGAAGAACAAAAGGCAAGTGTAAGCTCCATAAGGCAAGAACTTTGTGCTCACTGCTATAACTTCAGTATCTAAAACAATGCACTCCATGATGACACTTGATGAATATTTACTGAAGGGATCATGAAATATGCCTGGAGCAGAGTGAGCAACACAGAAGAGAACTGAAGATGAATCTAAAGAAGTCACATGGGGTGACCTGTATGCCATGTAAGGCCTAGCAGGCCATGGGAAGGACTTAACCCTTTACTCTAATCAAGATGGAGGCCATCATGGAACACTACGTCTAAAACTAATGATGTAATGTATGGGGATTAACATAAGAATAAAAAAAAAAAAAAGAAATGCTTTATAAAAAAAAAACTAATGATGTACTGTATGGTGACTAACATAATAAAATTAAATTAAATTTAAAAAAAAAAAAAGATGGAGGCCAACAGATGGTTGTGAGCAGAGAAATGACATGATCTGACTTTTACTTTAAAAGAAACACTGAACGCTATATCAAGAACTAATGATGTACTATACAGTGGCTAATTGAACATAATAAAAAAATAAAAAATAAAAGGATTACTCTGAGGGCACCTGGGTGGCTCCATCAGTTAAGTGTCCAACTCTTGATTTTGGCTCAAGGTTATGGTCTCAGGGTCATGAGATCAAGCCCTGCATCAGGCTTGGTTCTCTCTCTCCCTCTCCTCCCCGCCCCCCACAAACCTCGCTGGCATGCTCTAAAAAAAAAAAAAAGGATCACTCTAGCTACTGTGTTAAGAACAGAGTAACTTATGGAAGCAGAGAGACATTATGAGGCTACTGCACTAGTCCAGGCAAGACGGTGACTTGGACAGTGCAGTAGAAAAGCAATCATTTGAATGTATTCTGAAGTTAAGAGTCAAGGGATTTTCTGATACTTTAGATGGGCATATGAAAAAAAGAGAGAAGTCAAAGAAGGCTAAAGATAAATAATACATATTTCCTTTAAACAAATACCAATAATACTTAGAGGGATTTATATACACAATTAAAATCTGGTATTTCTGACATTACATTTTAGGACATCATCTCACACTGGGATATAAAGCAGTCAATAAGAAACATCTTTTTATACCTTTGTGTTTTATTATCAAAGCAATGCATATTTATTATTAAAAATTTAGAGTATATGGAAAAACAAACAGGCACAAATAAGAAACCATAATTCCACCGCACAGAAATGAACGTTGTCCATCATGCATTATCAAAGAAAAAAATGCATGTGTAATTTCTAAATAGAATCATGATGTCCTTGGTATTATAATCTCTTTTTTCTCTAAAAGCATGATATTTATAAACATCTTTCCAGGTCAATGTTTCCTTTTATTACATGCTTTTAATGGATATAAAGACATGCTGAAAATTTAGGTTGTTTATACTTTTCTGAACTATAAACATAAAAATAAGCAATATTATTTAGCTTAAAAGTAAAAAAAAAAAATTAATGTAAACATGTCATAGAAATTTTCTACAGAAAAGAAAATCTCATTTAGGTATCTTGAGCTTTTCCAGAATAGATTAGATACAGTATAGATCACTCTCAGATCAGTTTTTACAAAATAACATTTCATTTTCTTGGAACTGTGTGTGTGTGTGTTAGGAAGTAGGGAAGACAGTATATTTTTAATACACTTAATGTTTGAATCTAGCATGAGATAGTTTACAAGGATAGTGATGACAACAATATATTTATTTATGGACAAAACAAAAATACCTACCTCTTTAATTTCAAACTTTAGTAAAAGATTAATGAGCTCCTCATTTGGGGCCTCTGCAACTTTTTTTAGTACTGAACTTGTCACACTTTTACCAGTCTGTGTATCTCCATCTTCGGCATCAAAATATTCATCATCAGACTCTAAAGAACACATTCATTTGACTTGAGAGAATGCCCACTGAAAACTGCATGAAACACTCAAATCTCTCAAAAGTAAAATTCATTTATTAGATATAATCTTCATATTTAGAATCAGAATACAGTTATGTTTTTCGAATCCCACCAAGTAACTCAACCTGACATGTGATAATGATATATAAAGACCAAACTACCCTATTATTTTTTTCTTCAATAGTTCTGTTTTTCAATTCAGTTCACTAATTCAATATTCAATATAAATAACTGTTTGGCATCATCTATCATACATCAGTCTGTACCAGACATTAAGGATACTAAAGTAAACAGGGCAGACATGGTCCTTGTTCTCATGAAGCTTACACTCTACTTCAAAATTAAACAAGATCAGTTAGGCTAGAGCTAGAAAAAAAGATCAGATCAGGTAGAAATTGGGGCAAAAAAGAAAAAGTAGCTTATTTAGACTCTTATGCACTGTCAATCACAAAAATCCTTTCGGGGCACCTGGGTGGCTAAGTCGGTTAAGCATCTGCCTTCAGGTCAGCTCGTGATGCCGGGGTCCTGGGATTGAGCCCCATGTTGGGCTCCTTGCTCAGTAAGGGAGTCTGCTTCTCCCTCTCCCTCCCCCAGCTTGTGCTCTCTCTCTCTCTCTCTCTCTCTCACTCACTCTCTCTCAAACAAATAAAATCTTAAAAAAAAAAAAAAATCCTTTCATTCAAATGAAGAAACTGGCCTTAAAAAAAAAGTGACTCCATTTCTGGGTTCTCTATTCTGTTCCATTGATCTATATTATCTGTTTTTGTGCCAGTACCATACTGTCTTGATGAATCACTAAATTCTACCCCAAATTAATAATACACTATATGTTAACTAACTTGAATTTAAACAAAACCAAAAAAAAAAGTGACTCAAAATGACACTGTTGGTTAGTAGAACAACTAGAACTAAAACCAGTGAGTTGCTTTAATACTTTCAAAATTCCTTTATTTTCTGAAAATCTTATCTCTATATACAAATGTATATAGGCTTGGTTTAATAAAGAACATTTACTTTCCTTACCTGATTCTACTCCATCTAGCAACAGTGAAGTACCAAGTAGGTCCTTTGTCCTATCTGAAATAATGGGAATTGAGGATACCTAGAAAAGAATACAAAAAGTTTTCTTAACATACTGATTTAGCAGGATCAAATGTACTTAAATGAGAAAAATACTGAAAAAGTAATAGAGGATAGAGAGAGATGGAAAACCACATATACACACAATACACAAATCTTCCAAAAAAGCACTTTATGCAATCAATTAATGGTTGGCTAGTGTTTACTAACGATTAAGACTACCACCTGTATTCATAAGGGCAGACTGTGTACTACTCTAGTAGACAAGTCTACTTATCATAGTGTATCATTTAGTTGCTGTCTCTGACAATACTAACTGTGCGTCTGTATTACAGGTTCCTGGAAAATGGTATCAGCATTGGTGGGCTCTCTCAGATTTCATTTCAAAGTAAGTGGAAATTTAACACCTTTTTTATGTTGTAAAGATCAATTCCAATTAAAGTTATCTACAACTTTTAAGTCTAATGTGTATGAAAATTACATACAAATTATTCTATTTTGTAATAGTTTTAAGGAAGATTTTTGTATCTAATTTACTTAAACACATTTCATAAATTTGTAAAACATTTTTTTCCTTTCATTTATGTCTTTTTGTTCCCTTTGTTCTCTAAAAGTTGACTTCCTACCACCACTCTAAACAGTAGTGAAAACAGGCTTCAAAATTTACCTATTCAATGCCATATGCACTTTTGTATAGAATCAACAACATTAAACTTCAGAAGTGTATCAAATAAATGAAACTGGCCCTAAAAAATATTCAAAAACAAATTAGCTCAAAGAAAGATGAAAAAACCTCACCATATACAGATATGTGAAGATGCAGCATTTTTATTATATCCATTTACCTGTCTCTCTGGAGACTGTGCAGAGGATTTCTGTGGCAAGGGTATACTGTTAATCAAACATAGCACATCTTTCATCTTCTGGTCAGAAATCCTCACATGCACCAACGGAAGTCCTCCAGATACTTTCAATCTAAAAATACAATTCAACTGTAAGGTTTTAAGGTCCAGCTTCTCTCTATTATGGGGGAGGGGGGGAAATGGATTTGAGACTACACTGTGGAGTCAAAGTGACTCTGGACATGTTTTAATCTAACTAATGCCTCATTCAGTCAACATTGTCAGAGCATGAGAGGTTCTGCGTAAGCCAAGTTTCCAGATAATTTTAATGTATCCCTCTTCAGCAGCCAAACCTTTTAAAGTTAACTGATTTTTATGAACATATTTTCAAACACAATGTCTAATTTTTAAAACCACTATACATGCTTTAACTATTTCCTGGCATCAAAGATTTTATATTATACATATCTAAGAGTATCTACTCCATCACTCTCTATCCCCTTGCCTTGCTTTATTTCCGTTTCTAGTACTTGTCAGCACCTGACATATCATATATATTTGCTTATTTTATGTCTCCTGATTAAAATATACGCACCCTGAGGACATCTGTTTTACCCACTGCTGAATCACTGCTATGCTTTCATTAGTTGCTTACTTTTGGGCCCTGCTTCTACTTGGCTTCCCTACTCAGCATAACTGCCTCGGTTTATCTGTCTCAATAGCTTTGTGGCAGCTGTTTGCTGCTCAGGAAGTTCTTTCCAGTTACTGCTTATCTTTGACTTGCCAACGTGAGCAGCTCAAGTTGACAGCTGCCTAACGATTATATGAAGAATGATATTCTGTATAAGGCACAAATGAAAAGAGGCCGGTTGGCTATTCCTGTCTCAAGATATTGAACTTTCTATAAAAGTACTCTGTCAGTTGAAAGCACCATAAATATGTAAAGATGCTTCTTTATTATTTGTGAAACTAAAGGCATCTCAAATAGAGGGACTGGATGAACCCTCCCACCCAAAATAACTACAAAGTTGGACAAAATACATGAAACAATGGTTTAAAAGACATTGGACATTAGTCAACAAAAGACAGATGAAAAACGGAAAACAAATGAGGGAAGACCTAGGAATACCCCAGCCTACTGACTTAAGAATTTCAAAATATGAGAGGTACAGTAAAGGAGTATTTCAAGAGAAATATACAACATTCAATGCCGATAGTAGAAAAGAAGTTCTTAAATCAGTGTTTTCAACTTCCACCTTAAAGAACTAGGAAAATGAAGTAAATGAAACCCAAAGGAAGCAGAAGGGGAAAAAGCAGTAACAAACATGAGAGTGGAAATCAATGAAATAAAAAACGGAAGGACAATAGAGAAAATAATTGAAGCCAAAAGCTGATTCTTTCAGAAGATGATCAACAAAACTGATAACCTGATCAGGAAAAAAAGAGAAAAGGCACAAACTACTAACATCAGCAGAGAGAGAGATATAGCATCACTGCAAATTCTCTATGTATTAAAAAGGCAATATAATAGGGGCGCCTGGGTGGCTCAGTCGTTGGGCGTCTGCCTTCGGCTCAGGTCGTGATCCCGGGGTCCTGGGATCGAGCCCCACATCAGGCTCCCTGCACCACGGGGAAGCCTGCTTCTCCCTCTCCTACTCCCCCTGCTTGTGTTCCCTCTCTCGCTATGTCTCTCTCTCATCAAATAAATAAATAAAAATCTTAAAAAAATTAAAAAAAAAAAAGGCAATATAATAATATATGAACAATCTTATGACAATAAACTCAAAAACTAAGATGGACAGATTCCTTCCTTAAAAGACAAACTACCAAAGATCACTCAAAAAAATCTGAATAGCTCTATCTATGAAATATATTGAATTTGCAGTTAAAAACTCTCCCCCAAAAAACAAAACTCAAGTCCAGATGGCTTCACTAAATGAACTCCACCAAACATATAGAAAAGAAATAATTCTACACAACTTCCTCCAAAAAACTCACTCCATGAGGCCAACATTACCCTGATATGCTGATACAAAAACAATGAAAGCACAAATATCCCTCACAAATAGAGATGTTGACCCTTGAACAATTTGGGTTTGAACTCCATGGGTCTACTTAAATGCGGATTTTTTTTCAATAAATACGATAAAGTACTGTAATTGTATTTTCTCTCCCTTATGATTTTCTTAATAATATTTTCTTTTCTCTAGCTTTATTGTAAAAACAGAAGATATAACACACACACAAAATATGTGTTAATCAACTGCTAATATTATCAGTAAGGCTTCCAGTTAAAGGTAGGCTTTTAGTAGTTAAGTTTAGGGGAAATCAAAAGTTATACATGGATTTTCAAAAGAGCGAGTGTGGGACTGGGATGGGGGCTAGTGCCTCTAACCCTTGCACTGTTCAAGGGCCAACTGTATAAAGGGACACAAGGACTCTGGGGGGATGATGGATGTGTTCATTATCTTGACTATAGTGATGGTTTCATAGATATATATGTCAAAACTTATCAAATTGTACGCTTTAATTAGATGTAGCTTACTGATATACATGTCAAAACTTATCAAATTGTATGCTTTAATTAGATGTAGCTTACTGAATATCAATAATATTTCAGTAAGGCTGTTTTTAAGAAGGCAGCATAAATATTTCATAATTATCTCCTTAAATTCAAAATTCAGTTCCTACTTTTCATTCCCTTGAATTATTCTCAAGATTTTATGTGGTTTCATTATCAAAAGAGCCTCTATTTTTTTCCCCTAGTTTCAAGTTTTTATTTAAATTCCAGTTAGTTAACATACAGTGTAATATTAGTTTCAGGAATAGAATTTAGTGATTATCACTTACATACAACATCCAGTGCTCTTCACAACAAGTGCCCTCCTTAATATCTGTCACCCATTTAACCCATCTACCCCACCTACCTCCAACTCCAGCATCTCTCAGTTCTCTATAGTTGAGTCTGTTTTCTGGTTTGCCTCTCTTTTTCTCCCCCCACCCCACATTCATCTGTTCTGTTTCTTAAATTCCACATATGAGTGAAATCATATGGTATTTGTCTTTCTCTGACTTATTTTGCTTAGCATAACAATCTCTAGCTCCATCCACATCGCTGATTTTTGAAGATTTTATTTTATTGATATTGAATTGTTGGATTTGATCCATTCAAAAACACGGATAACCAACTTTTACACATTATAAAATTCCAAATACTTCTGAAATAAGAGAAGGGATACATCATAATTCAAATAAACATTTTCTTAAAAATGTATTTTTGCTATAAGATAATCATTTTTTCTGTCCTTCACAAATCTAGTTCTTTAATCAGAGGGGGAGACGAACCATGAGAGACTATGCACTCTGAGAAACAAACTGAGGGTTCTAGAGGAGAGGGGGGGTGGGGGGATGGGTTAGCCTGGTGATGGGTATTAAAGAAGGCATATACTGAATGGAGCACTGGGTGTTATACACAAACAATGAATCATGGAACACTACATCAAAAACTAATGATGTAATGTATGGTGATTAACATAACATAATAAATAAATAAATAAATAAATAAATAAAATCCAGTAACTGATACAGATACATTTCGCCTTGTTAATTTTATAATATAAAAGAAATACATTACCTGGCCATTCTAATGTCTTTTTCTACCATTGCCTTGGCCAACTCAACATGAATATCCATGGGTTGCAATATATGCATAGTTGATGGATGCTGAAATCGACACGTTTTCCAATTTTCATCTTTAAAAAAATTTTAAAATTAAACTAGTCTTCCAGATGTTCTGTGAAAAATTACTCTAACTTAATAGAAAACAGCAAACGTATTCAATAAATACTAATTTTTACTTCTTTCAGCATATGTTAAATGACCTTTATTTTTTAAAATAAGATTGACAAAAAAAATAAAATAAGACTGACAGTTAATAACGTAACTGTTTATTTCAAAATGTTTTTTAGTTAGCAGTAACAGTTCATAATAAGTGGGCACTTTTCCCCACTTAATTACTAAACAATTCTCATTGGATTATTACTGCTGTATGAATACTAAAATACTTTGCTATAATAAATTATACAGTCCACATCAGAAAAAAAAATTAAAATTCACCCATGCTCTAAAAATGAGGGTTATTAATGACAAGGAATTTCAGTGTTTATTTTTTCACATGTCTACTCTAACTCCATTTGACATTCTTTAGCCTCATCCTAGGTCTATCATGTCTAGGCTATCAATCTGGCTTATGTATCTAAAGACTATGAAGTGATTCACAAGTACTGATAAAGGATAGTCTACTGTGGGGAATAAAAATATAAAGGAAAAAATCAGTGGGAAAGAAATAGTTTTATATACAAATATGTTTATAAGCATTAGTGCATATGTGATGGGGGGACAGAACAATCAAAATGGCCTATAACAGATTAAAATAAACAATGATACAAAAACAAAAAAATAAATAAAATAAAATAAGACCAACAGGAGTCAAAGACTGTGATATAAAAATAATTGTAAATATATATTTGGAGGATGTTCATGTAACATCTTGCATTCTAAAGCAAATAGGAAAAAAAAACAGGACTTTATTGCCCTGATTCTGGAATTAGTGGTCAAGGTAGGTGGTTGCAGTGAAAAAAGGAAAAAAAAAATAGAAAATGACAGAGGAAAAAAAGAGGTTTCTGGGGTTCCTTAGAGAAATTACACTAGTTTAGCACATAATTCTAAAACAAAAATGAGTTTTATTAAGATTTTATGATAAAAAAGTGTAATAATCACTTTTCTCCAAAAAAAAAAAAAGTTCCAGAGTCAGACTTTCCAACAGAATCCTACACAGATCTTAAGTGATGGCAATCACTGAACATCTTTTATCACTTATAACTCAAACAATTATTATTAAGTACATATGAAAGAAAAGGCAGTTTTAATGGTCTGTGTAAAATGGTCTGTGTAAAAGTACTTCCCTCCAAGGAATTAATAAAGCATTATGTATTTACATTTTAATAAATCTCTTCATTCCTACTAGACTATACACTCTGCACACAGAGTTACTTTCTTTCTTCCAATGACCTACCACAAAGTGCTAAATTCAAGGATATTTAGCAAATAATTATTGCTTTTAGAAATTAAACAAGTATGGAGAACCAGTGTTCTTTACTTAAGCAGTAGAAAACACCATAACTTCTGGAAAATAATTAACTACCTTTAGGGTTTTAAGACTATATCCATACTTGTCAGATATCTACAAAAGTAGATTGTAATACTACTGAAATAATGACTAGGCTAATAAAGTCAAAATATTTAAAAATAAAGTAGCAAGGGAAGACAACATTGAGACATCCCAAAAGCACTGAGAAAGAAAAACTTAAGCCAATGGCAACTTCTATTTTTGTGTTCTGGGCAGTTTCATAGTCACATCACAACAAATAGGCAATGACTGGACCTAGATTCAAACGCTGCTAAGTACCTGAAGATGAATAGGCGTATTTTTATCTCTATTTCTACCTGTGGCAATGATTTGCACTGATGGGCTCCGATTTGGTTTTCTTAAGTGACCAACAGGACATGTGTTCAAAACATTGTCACGGTTGATATACATGCACACATATTTACCTAAGCTATTCAACATAATTTCAAGATCCTAAAAATCGAGCAAAAGCTTACCTGCTCTTGCAAAGAGTAACTGCACACTTTTTATTTCAACATCAAACTTGTCATATGCTTTATCCATTATTTCTTCCAGAGATGAATTATTAGTCTTCTGCAAACCTTGATCTTTACTGTTAAGCTAAAATGGACAAAAACTTCAATTTTCTTAGCAGAAAAATATATTAATATTTTTGTTGTGTTTTCTTAAAACCTAACTAAAATGAAAACTCTGTCCTTAGTGAGTTCACGTTCTGCTTAATCTTCTGACAATTTTTTGCAAGTATTTTATTAGGAATATAATATTTCAGTATACCTCTTTAATATGTTTGGGTACTAGGTGCTCACCATATTTGTACTAATTAGAAGATCAGTTACACAGCTGTCTACCTCAAAGAACCTGTCTAGACATGCAACTCTTCCTGGCTCTCAGCAGTTATTGCAACTCATGGCTCAGCACGCCTACAACCTAACCTCTTCACCATGAAATCACAGGTTTTGTTCCTTCTTCTTCTCATTACATCACCTGAATAAACAGGCCATTAGAATTCAGCTTCAACCTCCACTTCCTTTTCCCTCTTCCCAAAGGAAGCAAGGATCCATTCGGGACTGTATTTTCTGAAATCTTCACTTTTTCTCAGATGCTTGGATTTCTAATGGGTTCGACACCCAAAACCTTAGCGTTCTCTTACTCAATTTAATTGCTGACAGTGGTATAACAAGTATATTAATATGTGTATAATTTCCTATTGTCAAAATAAGTAAATTAACAAATAACACTGTGTAATTAAACTCTGGAAATCTAGTACTTCTCTACAACTAGAAAAATACAGCAGTAATCCAGTCCTCAATATCAAATCATCTACCATTACAGAAAATTTTAGGGGTTTTCCATGTTTTTTTTAATAGCCATAAAATATACATAAAATACTCAATCTAAGCTAGGCTTGACAAAATACTAAGAAGAAATAAGTCTAAGTTTAATTTAAGTGAACTCTGAGGGAAAACCAGCAAACTGTCAGATAGCTAGCTTCCAACCTGAGCAAAAATGGGCAGGAAGAAATGGATATACACCTACCCGAAATGTACCAAAGTCTACAATGAGAAGATCTGATTTTTCATGGTGGAAACCTGTCTGTGGAAGTATTAGATAAGAAGGCTTCAGATTTATCCTTAAATCAAGGACTTTTCGAGTTTCAATAATGTGTGTAAGTCCTAAAAGAAATAATAAAAGATTAGATGGTCAAGTTGACATACGTAATTATATTAACAATGAGAATACGAGTATCACTTGAAAAGTATTATGGGGGAGCATCAGTTCTCACAGACTATCCTCAAAATTAAGCATCTAAGGTGAAACTCCATATGGTCAATGGGAGACAATCATATCATTACACTGTACAGTAAACCCAACATAGCTAGTATTTTATCCAGAGAGAGAAAATTCATCATTTCTTTTTTTAAACATTTTTTTTAAATTATTTATTTGACAGAGAGAGACACAGCCAGAGAGGGAAGCCCCTATACAGCCAGAGTAGGGGGAGTGGGAAAGGGAGAAGCAGGCTTCCTGCCGAGCAGGGAGCCCGATCCCAAGACCCTGGGATCATGACCTGAGCCGAAGGCAGATGCTTAAAGACTGAGCCATCCAGGTGCCCCAAAATTCATCATTTCTTTAGTTAAGCAACCACATAAAGTACTTGGCTTGAGTTTAGAGACCATGCTGTATAAAAGTATTTATGTTTAGAACCAGAGTTACACACAAAGTTTTCATTAGAATAGACAAAATTTTGAGTTTCATTGATGTTTATGCAGATAAATTCTTTACCTGTAGCTGTTCTCTCTTTAATTTCTTCCAGCTTCATTAATGTAGCTGATGTTATTTGTTCAAGATTTAATCCTTTATTTGATTGAAAGAATTCAACCACTGCATTGATGGTTTTCTGTAAAATAATTTAAAATATAAGCAAGTCTACACAGTACTTTCCATATTATAAATTTTAAAGTTTCAGTTTAATTCTAAACAACTGTGGCTCCAAACTTAGGAGATACCTCCAAAGATACTCTGCCCTATTGCATCTCTCTCTCTCATGGAAAAAAAAAAAATCTAAAAAAAGGAATAGCCCAAGTAAGCTTACTACAGAGGCAACAAATGTGTGCATGTCATTGAGGTGACTTTGTATGTTCTAAGGTGTCATGTTGTTATAGCAATGGACATTACTACTAAACTATACACTTAAAAATTGCCAAGATGGTAAATTTTATGTATTTTACCACAATTTAAATTTTTTTTAATTTAAAAAATTAAATTAAACCCTGCCTGTGACTACACTTCTAAACTGTGAAGTAAAAAAAAAAAAAAGTCACGGTTCTCAACAACAGAGGAGGATGAACTTACAAAGGATGCAATGACTAGTGATCCTGTTGGCTAGCCTGAGATGAGTTAAGAGCATTTGAATAAAAGATGGAACCATAGATACAGAACTTGAGCCAGCATTTTCAATGACATCTAAATGTCAATGCTTTTTTTTCATATGAACAATATTTAAAATTCTTTTATTACTCCTAGAGCAATTTGAATTGGTCCAGATATTTAGGGGAAAGGGAAAATAAGCAAAACTGAACTGGAACAGGAAGTCAGTGTATAACTATTTGGGAGTAGTTGGTACAATAAACAGACTTTTTTAAAAAAAAGATTTTATTTATTTGAGAGAGAGAACGTGCACACATGTGCACACACAAGTGGGGGGCGGTAGGCAGAGGGAGATGGAGAAACAGACTCCCCGCTGAGCAAGGAGCCCAGGGCAGGGCTCAATCCCAGGACCCTGGATCATGACCTGAGCTGAAGGCAGACGCTTAACCGACTGAACCACCCAGGCGCTCCAACACAGACTTTTTGAATTGTATATTAGATTTTTTTTTTTTACTTTAACATAAGCATAGATAAGTACAGTAGGAAGAAAAATGGCAGCATATGAAAAAGTAAAATTAACTGGTAAGCATGTACTGCTTTTAAAACAAGAAAAAAGTGTTAGTAAACTTAGTTGCTAAGTAAATAAATGTTAGGTATAAAAGAGGAAAAATAAGAACACCATATGTCAGAAGTGTAAGAAGGGTTTAATAAAGATTGACTGGGGCACCTGGGTGGCTCAGTCGTTAAGCGTCTGCCTTCAGCTCAGGGCATGGTCCCAGGGTCCTGGGATCGAGCCCCGCATCAGGCTCCCTGCTCTGCGGGAAGCCTGCGTCTCCCTCTCCCACTCCCCCTGCTTGTGTTCCCTCTCTTGCTGTGTCTCTCTCTCTCAAGTAAATAAATAAAATCTTTAAAAAAAAAAAAAAAAAAAAAAAGATTGACTTTCTCCTTGCACTTACAGCATCGTAGATGACCTCCACAGGCTGAGACTGAACAATCAGAGTCTGGTCAGCCGTGCTATTCTCGGGGTTGGTTTCAAACTCGATTTTAAGCAAGGATGAGGTAGTATCGCCAATGGAAGCCACGAGTGACGGTACAACACCCTGCTGTTTCAGACCTGTGATGTACCAGTGTTCTAACTTTGCTTCCACCCTACAATCCAGTGAGTAAATAAATAATATAATTAAGATGCTGTGTAACATAATGGGTTAAAATATAAATTTTCCTTTTAAAAAAACTCCTTTGAGAGCCAGTACTACACCTATTACCCGAGGTAAAGTCCAAACTCCTTGGCCTGGCATTTAATTACCCATACAATCTGGGGTTTTGTTTTGGTTTTTGGCTCTTAACTTCTCATCCGCATGAGAAACCCACTTTGGCCAACTCCTGAACACTACAGAAGTTCCGATGATCACTGTTACATGAACGTAAGCTACACTTCACTCAGGGAACTCAACCCTCTATTTCATGTCACCTGAAAACACCCTCATCCCTGCTTCTTTCTACTCAGCTACCCTAAATCCCAATTCTTCTAGCCCAAGTTATTCTCTGCAACTGAGCTTGTGTAGCATTAACCTCAAGGATTTCACTTTACTGCATCTTCTCACCTACAGCTAATATGTTATATAGTTCTTATATTATTAACTTTTTGGTTATCCTCTCTTAACATGTACAGCATAAACTTCTTAAAAACAGAAACTTAATGTTCCTATGCTAGCCTTCATAGTATCAAACTGATAAATTTAACAGTATCCAATAAATTTTTGCAAAGGAAAGAACAGAGGGTAGAATAAATGATGAACTCCTCATAGAGCTTTGTAATAAAACAAATTCAAATATAAAAAGACCATCTGACACACAAAAGGAAAAGAAACTAAAGAAGTTGTTTAATGCTCAATAACACTATTTTTTGGCCAAGTCATATCTAGAAATAAAAACTGAAATAATAAGCTTTTTAACTTACTTAAGTGCTTGTGCTCCTGGTCGCTGAGATACTTGGGTGCCCAGGCCAATTATCTGAATTTTCAGTATTTCTGGGATATTTTTGTTTTCTCTTAATGTGACAGAGGTGCTGACTAGTCTCAGTGTCATTATATGGGCAACATACTAAACAAAAAGAATGAATGAAATTGTTATAGTTTAATTATTACTTTCTTTAATAATTTCTTATTTAAATTTCTTGAATTATAAGGTGATCTAAATGTTCAAAAAGAACATTAGAAACTTCAATACAAAATTACAAAATTGTTCAAAAAGGACAACTACAAGAGATCCAAAATTCATTTCTCCTAGTTTGAGATAAGAAAAATGAAACTTGATAAAATATTTTGTCACATAAAGACTCAATTCATCAACTTTCACTAAAGCAAACTAATTCAGACCAATCCTCTGGCTCAAAAACTGGACAAAATATAGAGAACATCTGCTTGATGTCTTGGAAGGCTTAAAAAAACACTGAGAAAAAAAAATCCTGACCAAAAAATAGATAGGTCAAAACGAGGTAGGACAGAGAAGCAGGGAGTTGATTCTCATCAAACCTTAAAGGAAGACATTAAGAGAGGAAGATTCATAAAACAGAAAACAATTAACAAAATAGCAACAGTAAGTCCTTACCTAAATAATTACTTTAAAAGTAAGGAGATTAAATTTTCCAATAAAAAAGATAAAGAATGGCAGAATGGATTTTTAAAAAAATAAGATCCAATGATATGCTGCCTACAAGAAAGACATTCACTTTAGCTTTAAGGACACACATTGACTAAAAGTGAAGGAATGGAAAAAGATACTTCAAGCAAATAGTAACTCCCCTCAAAAAGGGTAGCTATATTTATATCAGAAGAAAATAAACTTTAAGTTAAATGTTGTCAAAAGAGACAAGAAGGTCATTATATAATGATAAAGAGATCAGTCAATCAAGAGAACATAAGATTTGTAAAAACTTATGCACCCAACATTACAGTACCTAAATACATAAAGTAAATACTAACAGAACTAAAAAGAGAAATAAATGGCAATAGTTAGGGACTTCAATAACCCACTCTCAACAACAGATAGCTCATCCTAACAGAGAATCATAAAGAAACAGTGGATTTAAACACTGTAAGCCAAAGGGATCTAACAGACATGCACAAAACATTCCACTCAACAGCAGCAGGATAAACATTCTTCTCAAGCCCACAGGAATATTTCCTAGGATAGATCATATATTAGGCAATGAAACAAGTCTCAAAAAATTCAAGAAGGTATCAATTATATCAAGTATCTTTCCCAACCACAATGGAGTAAGATCTTAATAAGAGGAAAGCTACAAAATTCACTAATATGTGGAAATTAAACAACACACCCCTGAACAACCACTGTATCAAAGAATAGATCAAAAGGAAAATAAAAAAACAGCATGAGATAAACAAAAATGGAAACTCAATACATCAAAACTTATGGGATGCAGCAGAAGCATCTTCCTTCTAATAGGGAAGTTTATAGTGATAAATTCATACAAGAAAAAAGAAGGATCTCAAATAAACAACTTAACTTTACACCTCAAGGAACTAGAAAAAGAAGAACAAACTAAGGCCAAAGTTAAGGATTTTATTTATTTACTTTTCAGAGAGAGAGGGAGAGCACAAGCAGGGGAGGGGCAGGCAGAGGGAGAAGCAGGCTCCCCACCGAACAAGGAGCCCAATGCGAAACTCGATCCCAGGACCTGCGCCAAAGGCAGAAGCTTAACCAACTGAGCCTCCCCGGCATCCCAAAGCCCAAAGTTAGAAGAAGAAAGGAAATTATAAAAATTAGAGAAGAAATAAATGAAATAGAGAATAAAAAAACAATAGAAAAGATTAATAAAACCAAAAGTTGGTTCTTTAAAAACAAAACTGTCAAACCTTTAGCTAGACTAAGCAAGAAATAAAGATGACACATGTGAATAAAATTGTAAGTAATAGAGATATTACAACTCATATACAGAAATACAAAAGATCATAAGAGACTACTATGAACACCTATATACCAACAAATTAGACAACCTAGAAAAAAATGGATAAATTTCTAGAAATGTACAATCCACCAAGACTGAATCATGAAGAAATAGAAAATGTGAACAGACCAATAATGAGTAGGTGATTGAGTCAATAAGCAGAAACCTCCCGACAAAGAAAACCTCAGGACCAGATAATGTCACTGGTAAATTCTATCAAACATTTAAAAAAGAATTTACTCCAATTCTTCTCACACACTCTTGTGAGAAGAAACAAATGATAACATTTTTATAAAAATCAATAACTCATTTAACCCAATTCAACATAATACAGTAAAATGAAATAAAATACTTCTTAAACCACCTAAAAAATAATTACCTGCTTGGGTAAAGCTAAGTTGTGGGAGCTCTCACTATAACCAATAGCAGTGAAGAGCTTATCTTTTTCTTCTGGAGTCATAATGTCATCAATAGCTACAAAGAAAGGACAGTATTTTAAGAAATCAATTGCTTCAGTTTTACAGATACAATAAAAACAATCAAACCAAACTAACAAGTGCTCTAAAATCAATGCTAATAGCAAAAGCAGCCAGGTAATTCCCTCTAATATACTACTGTGCCTACTTAAAACAAACATCATGCATTTGCTTGCTTATGTCAAGAAAAGGCAAAGAGACACCATTAAGGGAATTCTGGTCTCATATAAGAATTTTAGAATTCCCTAAGTAGGTTAAAAATTAAGTGAAACTTCTGATACTCATGTAAAAAGTAACAATAAGAAATGTCAGATGTTGACGCTTCTGAATTCAAACTTCTAAAATTTCACACAAATAATTTCCTCAAAAATACCAAAGTTTTAATTTAGTTAGATAAACCCAGACATGTTCCAGCCTGAAGTATTTGCTTATACCTTTACACTAATTTGCTTATAATAAACGTAAAAGTCCACTAACTGGCTAAAATAGAATTTATGTATTTTTTACTTATCAGTGTACAATAAATTATCTGACTTGGAACTTACTTTCAGGAATCAAAGATTCTTCATCTTTTTTCTTGGACTCCTTCTTACCCCAAAACCCACTAAACCAGCCTCCACGTTTCTCGCCTGTGTCAGCAGACTTTTTCCTTAATTTTTGCCCAGATCGAATCACCTGAAAAGTAAACATTTTTATTAAATTTAATTAAAGAGTAAATGCCCTCTTCATTTTCAGGTATAGCCAGGTAAGAACAATGGTTAATTATTTTAACACTACATTAGGTTAAAAACGGTCAAGAGAACCTTCTGAAATGGTGTTCAACATGATTTGGTTAATATAGTTCCACCATTAATTTACTTTACACACCTACTGATCAAATTTTGATGATGCTGCATTTTAACAGAAATACAGTAAGGGTTTCAAGTGAATTTTTTTGAGCAATATGTCTTCCAAATATTTAAGTTAACAGCCACTAAGACTGCAGATTTATAAAATGAAAAGTTCTCTCTAAAGGAGATGCTTCCACACTCAGAAGTTTTAGTTTAAAACAATCATATTTCAGAATTCATATACATTACTGGTTTGCTAACTATGGACATGGGAGAGGGGTCGAATATAAATAAAAACAGATAGTCCTTAAATCTCATTTCATTCTCTTCTCAATAAATCCTGGCTTGATTTTCTGCAACTCCTTGAAATACTAAAATATAGATGAATAACTAAAAAGCAGAAAACAGAGAATAAATAGAATAAAGGGGATAAATAATTTAGACTCTATCTTCTCACTCCCTGAGTAAGTAAACTTTAATAATTTTCCCACTTAAAATTTATAGTATTTTAAATTAGTAGTAAATTGGTAACCTATTGCAAGCCTCCCTGTGTAACAAAAGGTGAAATACTCCAAAAGAGAAGTTGAAAAAAAGTTGAATTAGTAAAGAGAAGTCTAAACTAAGTTAAGTTCTCTTTATTTTTATTTATTTATTTTTAAAGATATTATTTATTTATTTGAGAGAGAGAGTACAAAAGAGAGCATGTACAAAAGAGAGAGTACAAGGGGGGGGGGACAGAGGGAGAAACAGACTCCCGCTGAGCAGGGAACCTGACACAGGACTTGAACCCAGGACCCTGGGATCATGACCTGAGCCGAAGGCAGATGCTTAACCATCTGAGCCACCCAGGCACCCAAGTAAGTTCTTTTCTTTAACAACGAGATGTTAAAGAAATAGGGGAATAGGTATACATCTGTGAACAAAACTATCAAAGTTTTATCATTTATACTTTAGCCATAACTATCTTTTGTCAAGCTTACCAATCCATTTTCAGCAGTCAGAAATGTAGTAAGAACTGTCATTATCTGATCACTTTATATTCTATATGAAATAATATTTTACTTCTTTATTCTCTTGGCACAGAAGATTAGTGTACTTTTTTATATTTTTCAGAAGTAGAACTTAGACAATTTCTTTAACCGCTCTCTGTCTTACTTTGCTAATATAAGCTGAAGATAATAGTACTTTCCTCAGAATTGATGGTACCCAGCAAATTAGATCAAGAAAATGTTAGCTACCAATTTCATTCCTGTTACTAAATTTTTACTTTAAAATGTTCATGAACACAAAGCTTCAGCAAAAGCAAATCAATTCTTAGCCACCAATATCTTGAATTCTTGTCAGACGTAGGCACAATATTGTTAATCCAAGTGCTTACTGTGTTTGTCTTTTGCCTTGAGATATTTTTTGAGTGGAACTAACCCCATCATGTCCATACCAACAGAAATTGTAAGGGCTGAAATGTTAATGAGAAGAGGTGTGGGAAACAGAACGCCACAACAACCACTGGTTCATGTTCGCTCAGACTCTGAGCTCTCTGAGAAAACTCGAGATTGCAGGGTTAAAAATAACCCGAAAGGATCAGAGTGAAATGCCCTTGGGACGTGTGTGGTCAGTTCTAAAGTACGCAGCAGATGTTTAGTAGATAGGAAGCCAGCTGTAAACAGCACACTGGGCACTCCCCTCTTTGTTCCTTTATTGTTTTAAAGATTCTTACGTGCTTGACTAATCCTGTTTACATGGAGGAATGTGCCTTACTACGCCCCTGCTATAGAAGTCATGTAAGAGTATGGAAAATAAACCTCAGCACCTCAGGCTGTTTGCTCGGGGTCCCCTGTGCCTCGCTATACTGTCGTCTCTTTTTCTCAGTTCTTTCGCCGCCCAGGTCCCCGACTCTCTGAGGTCTACAAAGAGGCACTTGAAATAAGAAACAAAATAAAAAATAAAATCTGAAAGTAGCTTCAAAAAATTCCAAATGTATCATTTAGATACGGGCTACATAATTCAACACAAGGTATGAATCTTTAGGACAAAGAAATCATGCAACCTATGAAAAGGGCTCTTCCTTTCAAAAATAAAAGTAGTGATGAAAGAGCACTATTACACCATTGATAATTGAGCAGGAGACTAGAGTAGTGCCTGAGAATGTAAAGAATAAGCATGGGGAAAATGTGGTATTTTTGTCACAAGCCAGAGATAAGTGCATATGTTCAGGCCCTGTTTGAATTTGCAAACTGAAAGTGAATGACAAATCAGCTACTGTGGATATCATAGCTCAGTGGTGTTCAATCCTTAATGCACTTAAGAATCATCAGGAAGCTTTAACAAAAACAAAAGCAAAAAACAACAGCAATGCCCAAGCCCCACCACATACAATTAATCAAATCCTGAGAAGTGGACTCTAGGCATCATTTTTTTAAAAAATTCCCTATGGATCCTAATGTGCAGCAGGATTCAGAACCAACAAGGTAACTACCTAAGAGTTTCCTCAACAACAGTGGAGATCATCAAGCAGGGAGTAGATGAAACTGAGCTATTTCAGAAAAGGCACCCAATTAAATGTGTATTATCTGGGTTTTTAAGCTTTAAAGAGTCTATCAACAATTCTTTTAGGGAAAATGCAACCAGAGCCTGCAAGCTTAAACCTGTCTTACATACTGGACTTAATAAACAGATGGATTTATGAACAGTTCTCTATAAATCTAAATACAGAAACAGCTGTGCAGTGTTTGATATTTTATTAAAATCTTTTTAACTGAGCCCCAGCCCCGGATGTAGCAGCCGCTGAGATGTTGATGCCCAAGAAGAACCAAATTGCCATTTATGAACTCCTTTTCAAGGAGGGAGTGATGGTGGCCACGAAGGATGTCCACATGCCCAAACACCCTGAGCTGGCAGACAAGAATGTGCCCAATCTTCACGTCATGAAGGCCATGCGGTCTCTCAAATCACGAGGCTACGTAAAGGAACAGTTTGCCTGGAGACATTTCTACCGGTACCTTACCAACGAGGGCATCCAGTATCTCCATGATCACCTCCACCTGCCCCCCAAGATTGTGCCTGCCACTCTGAGCCGCAGCCGCCCTGAGACTGGCCAACCACGGCCCAAAGGTCTGGAGGGAGAGCGACCAGCAAGACTCACATGAGTGGAAGCTGACAGAGACACCTACAGACGAAGCGCTGTGCCCCCTGGTGCTGACAAAGATGAGGCCGGGGCTGGGTCAGCAACTGAGTTCCAGTGTAGAGGCAGATTTGGTCGTGGACGTGGTCAGCCACCTCAGTAAAGTTGGAGATGTTTTGTGTTGAATAAATTTGTAGCCAGAAAAAAATTTAAAAAAAAATCTTTTTAACTGAACTGGGGTGCCTCGTGGCTCAATGGGTAGAACATGTGACTCTTGATGTCAGGGTCGTGAGTTTAAGCCCCACATTGGGCATAGAGATTACTTAAAACAAAAAATGTTGGGGCACCCTGGTAGCTCAGTTGGTTAAGCATTGGATCTTGATATCAGCCCAGGTCTTGCTCTCAGGGTTGTGAGTTCAAGCCCCAGGCAGTGATCCACGCTGAGCGTGGAGCCTACTTTTAAAAAGAGAATTCTAGGTTTAGTTAAGAGGTTTTTTTAAACATTTTAAAAATTAAAAGAATTTTTAAAAAATTTTTTTAAGTAGGCTCCACCCCCAGCATGGAGCACACACAGCCTGGGGCTTGAACTCACAACCCTGAGATCAAGATCCAACGTTTAACCAACTGAGCCACCCGGGGGGGGGGGAGGGGAGGGTGCCCCTAAACTGATGATTTTAAAAGAGCAAGCACTAAATTTTTTTGTTACCATCCTTTTTACCACACATAAAAAATTTACTTTTTGGTAATACACAACATATATTTTTAAACTTTAAGGGAAACATTTTTACTTTGAAAAATAAGTTAATCATTGAGGAATTTAAAAAATAATGTTGATAAGAGACATTAAGATAATGTAGTGACCAATGCAACATTCAACTTTCCCCCTCCCAAATCTCTATTTAAATCCCTAAAAAGTGTTATATGCAAACAATGAATCATGGAACACTACATCAAAAACTAATGATGTACTATATGGCAACTAACATAACATAATAAAATAAAATAAAAATTGTTTAAAATGTTTTAAAAGATAAAGCCACTATTAGCACTGAAATCTTTGTAAAGCTTTGTAAATCTTTGATCAGCATGTCACAGACTTTGAGAGATTTTAAAATAAATTGACAAATTTTAAAAGACTTAATAAAGAGAAAAGACAGAAGTGAATTAATTAGAAAGCACACAAATAAAAATACTAATTTCAGTGTGAATAACTATGAAGAAAATAAAGCAACAAAATAAAAAATACTGGAAAAAAACTTCCCTATATGTTGACAATCATCACTTAAAAAATACATTTAAAAATGAGAGCTGATCTACAACTATACACATACAATGTACCAGCGTCTAATCCTTGGTTTTAATATTATAATATGTCAGATATAACCATTAGGGGAAACTGAGGGGAGGGTACACAAGGACCTCTGTGAGTTATCTCTGCTTTACTTTCTATGAATCTATAATTATTTCAAAGTAAAATATATCTATATGAGACCAAAAATAAATTTTAAAATATATATGACTTAATATAAAGAGAGATACAGAACCGTTTCACGTTAATACCATCTCTGTTGTCTTCACTTCCTTCCTAGTTCAGCTAAAAGTATATGGCAAATAACTCCAGTCAATTCCTGCCTGTCTTTTAAATTCTGTGACCCTGTGGATTTTCCTTTACAATAAAAAAACTTCAGCCTTGGATGAATCTAAGTATCTTTTCTTCATGTATA